TATTTGCCCCCTTACAGGGATATCAGGTTTTGCAGCTTTGGGCTCCTGCTGTGAGGATAACACATTCAGAGAGTGAAGTGAATCCTCTGGCACTGAGCACCTGGAGTGCATCCTTGACTAAAGCCCAATAAATTCCCAAGAAGAAACTTTCAGGGGCTCACACTTTGCAGCTAATATGAAGAATTTCTTCACAGAAAGCTGTTTCATGGGTCCCACTTGTTACATACAGCATTAGCACTAAATCAAGCAATTAGGACATTAAGTGTTCTCTCGCTTTAACTGGTAAAGATCTGTCATAACGTGCTCAGCAGTAATGCTGATGACAGCACCAGCAAACCCCACAACTGGTAGGTCACCTTCAGAAGGACAAACTGATTCTGCCTTTCTCCCTCCCATCTGCTCAATCCATCCAAGTAAACCAGTGTACACTGAAACATGAAAGTAAATGCCTTTGGAGTTTTATGTCTGTGCTTTCTCCCAAAATACTGTTTGTTTAAAAATGTACCCCAGTACTATACAAGACAGATGTCACATCAATTACAGAAACACACATCAGATGTGCAGTCAGATCTGGCTCCCAGAGAGCTTCAGGCCACACACAACTGGGCAAAACAGAAAGCCTTCCTAGCACTTTCTGAGCACATCTCTCAGTGATGGATCAGCAGCACCTCTTAGCTATGGCCACAGGGAAGCATTTGCTCTGAAAATGCTGACTTAGGGGTCATGACCAGACCTCAGCGCTGTGGGGCCCTGTAGCTTAAAATGGAGCCAAAGCAAGGTGAAAAGTTGAGAGAGTGCCTTTGATCAACTGCCTAAAGGTTGATTTGCACCCAGAAGTCTGACAGTTCATGAGTCTCTTGACCCATGGACCTGGCTAGCGGATATGTAAAAGACCAATCACCTCAATTATCCTCTCTATCTCACTGGGTGAAATGTGCCCCTGTGCAGCAGGGCCAGCAGGACACCTAAGTATCATTTCTGTCCTGTGCTGAGGGCTGAAGCGAGCTGGGTGATGTGGCTGTGTTGTGCTGGTCATCTGGCACAGGGAGGAACTGTACTGATCCGGGTTTTCCCTGATGATCTGGTCCTCCCTTTCCTGGAATACATCTATATGCCTGCACATACTTAAATCATGACTGCCCTCTATAACTGTTCCACAAATGAATGGAGCCTTGTTTCCTAAAGATTAGAGCTTTAAACGGCTTAATCCCTCTATCCCATATTCTTCAGCAAGCACTCTCCCCTCCTGCCAGCATTATCTCCCAAGCTTTCTCCCAGGTCTGCTAGACTGGACAAAAAGAAGCTAATACACAATTGGCCAACTGGTTGTTGCCTCTGATTGTGGAGAAGGGCTGAGTTATCACTGCCTTTACCCCAATGACAGTGTGATGCTGAGTCTCTGTTTTGTTCCTAGTCAACAACTGTCACTCAGCACGGAGGGACTGCCTGTGTTTCTCACCACTGCTCCCTTGCCAGGATGGGCTGAAATTGGCCAAAAAGTTCCAAATGAGTTGAGAAAGGGTAACACTGCCAGCCAGCCAGCGTGACTGCAGGAGATTTTTTTCCTTTGAGAAATCAGACTGTAAACAGCAGAGGGAGAGTACCAGAGAGGGCCAGGAACTATTTAGGCTAAAGAGAAACTTTGGTTTGCAAACAAAGAATGTAAAGTGACTGTGAATTATTTGAAGCTGGAATGTGGAGGGAAATTTGTAACTATCAGAGCAGAGAGGTTCTGGAACTGCCTCCTAAGGGAACAGAGCTACAACAAGAAAATGTTAAACTTTTATGATGGCACTTGATGAAAGGAATTAGATGATGCAGCTGCCTGTAACAGAGACAGCACAAACACCATGACTCACCAGGAAGGTCTCCGTATTCTGAGTGTATGTACATCTTGTGTGTGGGTGGAGGTGTGGTAGGGATGTACATATATGCACTTCAATTGTGCTGCACGTTAAATGAGAGATCAAGCCTCCTCATGCTCTCATTCAGGAAAGGAAACATTTCAGACTGTGGTAGAAACAGGACTGGTTTCTATTCACACTCACTAGACATGCCAACAAGATAATTCCTGACAGAGTTCCTCATAACCCTTGTGCTGACCTGACTGTCTGAAATGGGCACATTTTCTTCTGATCTGATGCTGGTTTGCCCAGGTATGCTGGACAGGGCCTGGAAGTTTGTATTTTGATCAAGACCAAGCTCAGGTTCCTAAGCATTTGTCATAATTGCATGAAATTAAACCACAGTAGAAAAATCAAGCCTTGCAGACAACACTGTGTTGATTCTACTAAACCACATTTTCCAAGGGAAAACTGGCTTCTGTCTAAAGCCCTGGAAGTCTGACAGATCTTCCCCCCACTCTGTCCTCTGATGACTCCTCAGCAATGGTCCAGAATTGAAGCCCAGGGCAGACTGTATGCCAATGTGCACACAGTATTGCCTCACTGACTCACAGTGCTCCTAGAGAGACCCCAGCAGGACTGAGGCATTGTGCTCCAACACCACCTGTGCTGTTTGAATGCTACCAGTCAGAGCTCTGGGCAATGCAATTTATGGGTAGCCTGTGAGGAAACCAATTTTTGAATTAATTTTTCTCAGAGTTCGTTTAGATGAGGCATATATTGCTCTGCAGTCAGCAGGGTAAACTAACTCCCTTCCCACATAGCGTGGCCCAACTGCCAATCAGAATAGCCAGTGGCTGTGCTCCAAGGGCAACATCTACACTAGACCAGAGAGGATGTTTTTGGGTTAAGATGGTTGGCATGAGGAGAAGACAACAGTTAGCAATACTTGTGAATCTCCCAGTTAGATATATATGCCTCCTGTTACAGAAAGTGAATTTGGAGTTCAAAGTCTCATGGACAACAGTCTGCAGTCCAAGGGCCTAGAGCAGACTCTCGTCTGTCACTACTGCACCACTGGCTTCATGATGAGCAGAAATCTGTACAAACACCGAGGGGAAGGCAGAGAAATGCCAGAGAGAATTTAGTTCAGTTGTGCTTCACTGCTAAAGACAACATGAATGACCAAATGCTGCTTATGCAAGAGAAAGAATTATGTTCCATTGATGCCTAAAATCATTCAGTTCAGCTGCTTTTCACAAGAAGAGGAAAAACCCCTAACTTATCAGCATCCAGGCAGAGAATCCATAAACAGCTTCCCTTCTGTGGCATACTACACTGGCACACACCAAAACAAAGATATTTGAAGCACAAAAATTGTGATGCTGATGAAATTACAGGCTCTGAATATATTTTCGAAGCTGATGATTTATGTTCTCCCTGCCTTGCAATTAGGGCCTCTGAGAAATGCTACCACAAACACTCTGCCTAAAGCATTTA